TTATAGTTCTATTTGTCTTGGGTATATGGAATTTTAAAGGACGTTTACAGAGTTCTCGAAAGTGCAATTTTGGTATTTTGCAATAAAAATAGCAGATTTTCATCAAGGACCATTACGGGAAAAAAAGATTTCAGGAAATCTGCATTTAAATTTAATCTGATTAAAATAAAGATCCTGTGTCAACTCTTTGCTTACAAGGATCGGACAGCACTTGGTTCTACTTTCTGTTCTGGTGACTATACATCAGCCAATGAAATTTCAGCCTTCAAATTGTTGAAGGTGTGTATCATTATGACAAAACCAGAGGATCCTGAAAGCTTTTTAAAACAGAAAGTAGAATAGAGCATTGTCAGATTCTTGCAAGCGCTCAGGTAGATTTGTAGGTAAATTACTCTTACACATGATATCTAAACCATTAACCCAGGTTTACTGTTGGAGGGATTTATTACAGTCTTTCTAGTTTTAAGACCTAGACAAAATGCCTATTTTTGGTTGTTAAAAAATTGGAAGGTAGGTAAAATACACTACAAACCAGTAAAAGTCTGAAATGGCCTATATCTGTACTCGACTACTGATTTTTACTCAACCAGTCTGAATTGGTCTGAAATTTACTTGATAATACTCGACTGTAGTCTGAACCATACTTAACAGTCTGAACTTGTACTCGACCCTTACTCGACCAGTACTTAACCATTTTATACGTGTCTGAACCATGCTCGACCTAGTCTGAACCATGCTCAACCTAGTCTGAACCATACTCGACCTAGTCTGAACCATACTTGACCAAGTCTTAACCAACCTAGACCTATTTTTTGTATCTATCTATTGTATTTCATCAATTTAGGAACTGTTTTTAACAACAGCTATTTCCCCTGGCTAGAAATTTGAACAACAATTTGAAATTAAAAATGTATTCAATATAGCATTGAAAACAAAATTTCACAATAAACATAATATAACTTCATCACCATATTCATCAACACTTATATACATACATATATATCACCTTTAAAATAAAAATAAAACAAGCTGATCATATAATCTCAAAACTGAATTGTGACTAATATTTTCAATGTTATTCAAAATTTTTTGAATGATTCAGATATATTTTATGGTTACTGGACAATTTTCACCATTAACTTAAGCCTCGTATAAATTTATGGTGTCAGTTGAGTTTAGTTAATAATGCAGTGAACATTTTTTTTATTAAAATATATATAAAATAGCATATAAAGCAACTTAATAAATTTAAAAAATGACACCTTTGTTTTGTTAAACCAAGAATTTAATATAATCATGATAATAGAACTTCTATAATAATCCTGTGATAAACTTTTAAAAAAGGAAATGCGTTCCAAAGTTAACAGTAAAAATTTATTTCAATTAAATTTAAATAATTTGTGTCAAAATTAAAGACATGGCATACAAGAAGCACTTTAATAAGGTTGAATTACCTCAGTACATGTGTGTTTTACAGGTAAAAAGAGAGCCCTATTTTTCTTAAACTTGTGTATTACTTATCTAGTGGATTCAAAAGGCCTTGCGATTTAAATTTCACAGGATGTTGCAATTTTGAATGAATGTTATTTAGAATTTAATACTCTCTGACCAGGTGTGATCTTTTTCATGAGTTTGCCCCAAGCAGGAGGTATTACTTTATACTTGACCACTAATCAGAAGAACAATTTTATTAATTTCTTTAATTTTTATCCCTTTTTATACGCCCGTCAAATTTTTGACGGGACGTATTATGGTATACAAATGTCCGGCATCCGTCCGGCATCCGTCCGTCTGTCTGTCCGTCCGTCGTCTGTCTGTCCGGCGTAAACATGTCGCACCGTAACTTGAGAATGACTTATCCAAATTTCATGAAACTTAACATAGTTGTTTCTTATGATGGTCAAACGATCTGTATACTTTTTGGTGAAAATAAGATTAAAACTTTTTGAGTTACGGGACTTAGTAACTAAAACAGGTGTGAGTTTTTTTTCACATGTCGCGCCGTATCTCAAAAACAATTTTATGATTATTGCTTAAAACTTTACACACTTCTTAGTTATATTATTCTTAAGATCTGTATACTTTTTGGTGATGATTCAAAATTTTATTTTAGAGATATTGAGTATTTTGTTAAAAAAGGGGGAGGGGTTTTTCACATGTCTCCCCGTATCTCAAAAACAGTTTATGATTATTGCTTAAAACTTTACACACTTCTTAGTTATATTAACCTTAAGATCTGTATACTTTTTGGTGATGATTCAAAATTTTATTTTTGAGTGATTGAGTATTTTGTAAAAAAAGGGGGAGGGGTTTTTCACATGTCGCGCCGTATCTCAAAAACGATTTATGGTTATTGCTTAAAATTTTACACACTTCTTAGTTATATTAATCTAAAGATCTGTATACTCTTTGGTTTTGATTTAAAATTTTATTTTTGACATATTGATTTTTTTTTTTTAAAAGGGGGGGTTTTCACATGTCGCACAGTATCTCAAAAACGATTTATGATTATTGCTGAAAATTTTACACACTTCTTAGTTATATTAATCTAAAGATCTGTATACTTTTTGGTTTTGATTCAAAATTTTATTTTAGAGATATTGAGTTTTTTGTAAAAAAAAAGAGGGTTTTCGCATGTCACGCCGTATGTCAGAAACTATTTATGCTTATTGCATAAAAATTCACACACAAGACGATGGGCGTATCATGCGTTCATGGCGCAGCTGTTTATTGATATATATTGTATACAAGTAATAGCTTTTCAAAAAAAGGCTAGCCGTCTCTTAGCTGATGAAAATGGAAAGTGTTCTCGCTTTGTAGATTAATTCATTCAGAATAGTCTTGCATATCAATCAACAAATTTTACCACTCACGTGAGGTCACACGTTATGAAGTAGTATATCGTTTAACGTTGTGTGTGTTTACAAAACTCCAGAAGATTCGGCTATTTATAGATAAAAGTTTCCTGTGTACCAATCTCATGAATATGCATGATTAATGACCAGGCAAAATCTAATTGCTAAAATAGAGAGGACAAATCCGATACTCTACGGGATTGAAAGACATTTACTAGGTTTGGATTGTCCTAACCAATCAACAAACTTTGATTATTCACGTCTGGTAATATCTTCCAATCAGGTAGTAAGAGGCATTCACGCACTGACTGTCCATCATTCAATTCTTAATAACGTCTCCCAGGAGATGTTAATAATATATCCCAAATTATAATAATAGATATATTTCTAAAATAAGGTTAAATAATTTCAGTGATTTTTGTTGGCTGTTGTTACCTCATTAAAAAGATAATTATATAACTATTGTACATTTTTTGTATTTAACCATGAAACCTATGTAATTTTTATTTAGGAATTTAGGAAAATTAATTTAAAAAAAAAACACATGCCAAACAAGAAGCACCTTAATAAGGTTTAATTACCCTCAGTATAGGTGTGGTTTTTAGGTAACAGAAAATCTTTTTTTAACAAAACTCTAAAACTTTAAAATTAATATAATTAAATTATTATATAAGATAATTTGATTTAACTATCTATTCGATAAATCTGAGAATCATGTAAGAATGTAAAAATCTGTTTTTTATAATATATCTTTATTTTATTGTGGCTGTTGTCATGTCAGTTAAAAAGAAATTTATTTTAACAGTTGAAATTTAAAAAAAGTAGAGGTTATTTGGTCAAGTATGGTTCAGACTAGTCAAGTATTGTTCAGACCTTTGGTCGAGTATGGTTTAGACTGAAAAAATTTGGTCGAGAATGGGTTCAGACTGTTTCAGACTGGTCGAGTAATAGTTCAGACTATTTTCAATGGCAAAGATAAGGGTCAAGTACAAATCAGTACAGTCGAGTACAGATATAGGCCATTTCAGACTTTTACTGGTTTGTAGTGATAGTTTCAATAATATTTCATATAGTATTTAAATAAATATAAAGATGACTATGTTTTTTTTTAAATTCAATAATGGTACACTGTAAATTCAGAAATGCTTACTAAATTTTCATTATTGCCTAAAGAGTGAAGCAATAGGTTTCACAAAAATGAAAGCTCCCATTTTAAATTTTGAAAGCATTATTTGTATGCAGAATTTCCTGAAATCACAATCTCAAATTTGTGTCCCATTGTTTGAATAATCGCGATTATAAATGCACATGCACAAGGATTGATTGATTGTTGATGTTTAACGCCACTTTCAGCACCCTTTGCTATAGTTTTTTATTGGAGGAAGCCAGGGAACCATCAACCCTATGGAGGAATACTAGCAATCCTAGATGGTTAAGATTGTAGTCAAATCCCCCTTGACATAGGCGGGGTTATAACTTGTTAACTTAGTTTTGACAGGCTAGTGATTACTAGATGGACCACATGGCCATAGAAATTTGCATAAATTTCTGAATTTATATTATGCAGTACTTGTTCAAAGTTTGCTGAGTAAATAAAAAATCAAAGGCTCATGACTTCTTTTAATTTTCACTTTTACATGGCATATTATAATTTTATTCCTTGGAATAGAATTTTTTCCATTGATTTCCCCCGATAAGTAACTTTATAAATAATTTTTACTATGAAAGTTTACTATTCATTAGTATAGAGGCTTTTTAGTTATACCAGTAAACATTAAAGCATATTCATTAGAATAATGGCTTTTCTTTAAAAAATGTAAATTAAATAATCACATTGGTTTTCTTAAAGCAGGAATATATAAGACATAAGACTACCACACAACATGAACAATAGATTTATTATATTCAACTTGCATGTTTAGATTAAAAAAATGGCAAAAAGATCCAAAAAAAATTATTCTCCTTGAATTCAAAGAGAATCGGTACCCCACACAAAATTGAATCCACAGCAATATACCTGATATAGGAATGGAGAAGACATTACTTAGTTGTAAAATGTGTGTCTCATCGGTTTGTTTAATTTTTGAACAATAAAATATTTTTATACTGAAGAAATTGAATTAATGCTCTGTCTGTTTTCTACAGGTTCAGGTGATTCCTTGGGTTCTTAGTGATAGCAATTACGTCCGCCAACCGTCCCAGCGTCTAGACTCCAACAAGACCGTATTTGTAGGAGCACTCCATGGAATGATGAATGCAGAGGCACTGGGATGCATCATGAATGATCTCTTTGGAAATGTAGTGTATGGCGGTATAGACACTGATAAACATAAATATCCAATTGGTAGTGGACGTGTGACATTTAACAGTAAAAAGAGTTATATGAAAGCTGTTCAAGCTGCTTTTGTAGAAATCAAAACTCCAAAGTTTACAAAAAAGGTAAATATAAACTAATAGTTTTCTTAAAACGTAAATATAATTTAACAGAATAAATCCTGTACTTATAGGAGACCCTGTTCTTTAGGGTTAGAGATTGTTTTAGGTTAATTTAAGTTTTTGAGGGTATGGGTCAGTTTTAGGGTTAAGCTTTGGTACCCTAAAATAAATTGAAGGTTGACCTCTTCACTAGAATTATTTGTAATAGTGGTCTCCCAATACTATACTTCCTCTGCTTATTAGGAAAAAAGAGTATGAAGTATACATATATTAGTTCTATAAAATGATGGGATCTAAACAATATAGAGTTACTGTGGATTCATTTATTTTCGTGGGTACCAATTTTCGTGGATTCAGGAAAACTTACATGTTCGTGGATATTTAATTTCGTGGTTTGGCCGAAGTCTGCATACAAGCCTATAGAAAATTTGTTGTTCGTTGAACATTTAATTTCGTGATTTACCTGTACCCACAAAATCCACAAAAATTGGTATCCAACGAATAATAATGAGTCGACAGTATCTTATTTTGATTCTTGTATCTGGAACACTTCCTAAAACTATGACCTTATTTTGATGAAACTTTCACAAAATCTAAAGTATTGTATTGCATTGCGAATCCATAATTAATTTATGATCCAAATGATTTCTTTTAATTTCAATAGTAAAATATGAAATTTTCTATTCTTCAAAATGAGTAATCGCCAGTAATCCTCCTAAAACAATGACCTACTTTTGGATGAAAATTTAATAGAATATGCCTCTTTTTACTATTTTTCTACAAATGGGAAAGGAGTAAGTTCGGTAAAGGCCATATCGTTCTAAGCTGATGGAAATTTACTCGTTATCATTGAATTTTCGTTGAAAATCAAAATGAGTGCTCTCAGCATAGATGCCAAGCATTATGATTTGTCCGTAAATGTTACAAATTTTGGACAAAAATTACATTGTTACAATTACCAGTCTATTTGTTACGGATTCACGTTCATTACATGTCCAGAACAGTTCTCCGTTTATATATCCTTTTTATCATTGTGATTTTTGTTAGAATTCTGTAACATTAAGCAATTGGGTTTCTCAGGACTATCTACCAGTATAAAAAAGATCTCTCCATTTCTTGTTCAATTTCAAATAATTAATGCAATGTCTGGTGGAACAATTAAATTTCTAAAGCAAGGAAAGAAAACTCGGAATAACGAAATCGGAAACCGGAACATTATGCCTTTTGCATATATTGTGAACAAGACTTGTGCGATGGTCGGTGTTCCTCACTTGCTAATCAACTTTAAATCGTAGTTCTGATAAATAAAGGAAATCAATTATTTGTCACTGTGTGCCAATCCCAAGGGTGACTGGGTAATTTGAATATGCTCACTACAGGTCTTCTTCCGACCGGCAGTGAACCCTTGCTAATGTGGGGCGTCTGTTTGGCTGTGCAGGATGTACAAGTACGCAGCCACGTCTGGTTAGAATAGGAAATTAAAATCCTATGCCTCGTGTAGAAAAGAATGTCATGCTCTCTGCACGTTGAGAACCATTTTAACAATTCTTTGAGGGATCCGTAGGTGGCCTGTTGCAATGCAAAATAGCTGTCCCATATCCAATATACCCTCATTTTCCAGTGGCAGTCTAAATTTCCCCAACCTGCACCCCAGAAGGCCTCTATTAAAGGACCTACCTATTGTATTTATTGTTAATTTGTTCTCATCATGAACAATCATGAAATATTTGCCACTGGACAATAAGCAACCAATACTCAATCAATGATATCACTGTGTGCTTAGTTGTTCATATGATGATTATAAAATTTTACAAAGAAAATACTGTTACTGAAAAATGACACAAATTACTGATTGCATCAAAAGGCGGTTGGCATCTATGTATCAGTGACATCCTGCATAGGATGCAAGTACGTAAATTTTCAACAAAAAAACATATTTCCTATCTAGTTATGAGAAATTGTGATATTGGTCAATAAATCCTAATTTCAAATTGTAGCTGGATATAGGGGCCATTTTAGGGCCTTATCGAACCTACTCCTTTGTAATTTTATGCAATGTTATGAATTTCAGATTCAAATTGACCCATATTTGGAAGACTCCATGTGTAGTTCATGTGGAATACAACAAGGACCATACTTTTGTCGTGAAATGGTATGCTTTAAGTATTTCTGTAGGACTTGCTGGTATTGGCAGCATGCTTTGGATAGTCTACGTCACCACAAGCCGGTCACTAGGAATACAAAGACATCAAATATCATTGCTGCTGCTTCTATGTAAGATATAGTCCTAATATGTGGGGGTTGTTATAAAAATAAGATGTGGTATGATTGCCAATGAGACAACTCTCCACAAGAGACCAAATGACACAGAAATTAACAACCATAGGTCACGTTATGGCCAGTTTAGGGCAGTGAGCCATCTACTGTTCTTGAGTTATGTTCTTTTTTAACTTGAAAAATTGCAAAGCTTGAGTGGGGGCATTTGTGTCCTCATACACATTCTTTTATTTTAACACACAATAGCCATGTAATGGGTAACATTTTTCTAGGAAACTACAAATAAGACCTTCCTCAAATTTGTTATCAGGCTTTATGTGAACATGTTATACCATGTAAGGCAATTTCATATCCATTTCTTTTCAACATCTAGTTTGGTGGGCTCAACTCCAATCTTAATTGACTAGGATTGTCAGTTTTCCTACCGAAGACCGTGGTTCTTTACGGGCACTCCGACCTCCTCCACCAATAAAAACTGACTGCAAGGAAATAACACAAAAGTGCTGAAAGTGGCGTTAAATACCAATAAATTAATCAATCAACATCCTGTTTACTGAACATTAAATGGGGGATTTTATTTTATAAGCAATAGCTAAGTTCTACTGTTATACCGTACGAAGTAGCCAGGCTTTCCCATTTGACCTTGAAAACTAGAAAAAGCCTGGCATACTGTGTCAATTGTTGTAAGCCAGGAAATGCCCTTGAAATTTGCTAAAAATGGTGAAACCAAAGAAAAAACCCATGAATTTCTTAAGATGGGTAGCTTGTTTTAAAATTCATGTTATTTCCCTTTAGCTATACTTAACTGATGGCAGTTCAAGATAAAATCTGCACTGCACTATAATTTCTGTTCAGGGAGGCTTGTCGAAAGTAACTAATAGTTTTTCATCTATATCTTATGATACCAGCTTTGAGCCCTTGAGACCTACTGGGAAAACCCTTTAATTGTTGTTTCAAAAAGAATGGGAACCCTTAGTTGTTCAGTTTCCATTTCTGATGATGACTTAAATTGACAGGAATTTGAGGTGGTTTATTATCTCCCATTATTTTCCCCTAGTGGTAGTATATGGAATGATTGTAAGGTGTACATGTCCAACTGGTAGGTGTCATCTGACCTTTACCTCATTTTCATGGTTCAGTGGTCAAAGTTAAGTTTTTGAGTTTTGGTCTTTTTTTCTAATACTATGTGCAATAGGTCAACTATATTTGGTGTATGGAAATATTTTATGATGTACATGTCAGTCTTGCAGGTTTTATTTGACCTGAACCTCATTTTCACAGTTCATTTCTCAGTGTTAAGTTTTTGTGTTTTGGTCTGTTTTTCTTCAACTATAAGCAATAGATTAACTATATTTGTTGTATGGAAGGATTGTAAGGTGTATATGTCTGTCTGGCAGGTATCATCTGACCTTGACTTCATTTTCATGGTTCATTGGTCAATGTTAAGTTTTCATGGTTAAGTTTGTTTCTTAGATACTATAAGCAATAGCTCAACTATATTTAATGCATAAATTGGTTGTAAGGTGTACATATCTGTCTGGCATGGTTCATCTGACCTTGACCTCATTTTCATGGTTCATTGGTCAATGTTAAGTTTTCTTGGTTAAGACTGTTTCTAAGAAACTATAAGCAATAGGTCAACTATGTTTGTTTTATTGAATGATTATAAGGTGTACATGTATTTCTCGTTTGGTTTATCTGACCTTGACCTCATTTTCTTGGATCATGTTAAGTTTATGTGTTACTTGTAGTAAAGCTTTATATTTAGGACTATCAACATAAAATCAATGGTTAGTAAAGAAGGTGAGACATTTCAGCTTGTGCATTCTTGTTGATGAAGTTGAAGTCCAATCAACTTGAAACTTAGTACACATGTTCCCTATGATATGATCTTTCTAATTTTAATGCCAAATTAGAGTTTTGACCCCAATTTCACGGTCCACTGAACATACAAAATGATAGTGCGAGTAGGGCATCCGTTTACTATGGACACATTCTTGTTCTATTTGATTTGGTATCTTTTTTATTTCAGAAATGGAATAGACATATAAAGACATTTCCCTACGGACAGCAAAGAAACTTGAGTTATTCTGAAGAAATAAGTGCTATATTTGTATAAAGTGCTAAAATGTACAATAGTGCTTTCAGACATTTGGATTCATACTCAACATTTAAGACGGTTACAGAGGTTTTATGTGAATTTTATGAAGAGAAGTAAATAACATCAAAAAAGATTTAATTCTACAACTTAAATTTTTAAATAAATATAACGGTTAACAAAAAGTTCAAGATATTTTATTGGACCCTTGTTTTTTTCTGTTGTCAGATTAAAGAATATCTTTAAGAATTGTTTTAGCTTCAAATTCATAAAAACATAGAAAATTTTAGTTGAAAGTTTAATGAATGAACATTTAAGTTTTAAAACATCATACCTGTTTTGCTCATTTAATGTCGATCATTAAATTTTTAAGAGAAAAATCAAATTGAAATTTGAATTCAATTAAATTTTAGTAATTACTGAAGGAAAATTTAATGTTGAACATTAAATTTTTAATAAATTTTGCAAAGGTCAGAATAGGCTCTTGTTTTAGAATAGGAACAATAACAAGAGAAAATTTAATGTAGATCATTAAACATTTTTTTATTAAAGAAGGAAAGTATTAATAACTTTTTTAAGTATGAAATTAGAGGGAATATAGCTGTTAAATTTTTAAAGAAAGTAAATTTGAGTTTTAGAAATAGATGATTGTGCAATTGTCCTTCATTTAAAGAGATGTACATATTTTATTGTATGTGTAAGATGCAATTTTAAGAATATGAAAGAATTATTTACCAAAGACGTAACTTTTTCTCTTGAAAAACAGAGTACCAATAACGGACATTACAAACCAGTTGAAGATTATTGAGGCATTTTTGAGGTGGTCCATATTTTGTCATTTATATGTACATATGAAAATTTCTTATTTTTCTACATATGTTTGAACTGTTATGATGTAAACGTTCAAAATGGGTTAGTTAAAAAAATATAAAAAAAAATTTGAAAATATGCTGTTTTTTTACTGTTAATGTTATGTTGTTCAGTGTTTAGTATTTTATAACAAATTTGGTCTCGGAGCACCAATTTTTTCTTTTTTTGATATATTTGTATGTATATATATGAATATTTTGTTCAGAGTACCTGACTTAATTTTTAAAATACCATTTAATGGTATATGTTTTTGCTATTCTTGAAGCTCCCTGAAATTCAGAAAAAATGCACATGTAATTTATGTAAAATTTATTCAAATTGAATATTTTATTTAGAATGTGCTGTACAAGTCTAGATTTTTTAAAATGATTTATTTATATCTGAAAACGGAGAGGAAAATTGCAATTGACATTAAAACTTAAAAGTGACACAATGGCTGCCTTCATTATAGAATTTGTATTTTTTGTAACAATATCTAGATGAGTTTTTCCATCACATTTTAATGATCTGATAGAAGATGGATTTAATGGTTCTGACATACAAAAAACAACTCCAATCTTCTCTTTCCCCCTGAAATTTTTGAACTAAATGTAATGCAAGGTGAACAAGAAGCCAACTTTTAGTAAACTGCATGCATTCAAAATGTTAAGGGTCTTTTTAACAGCTCAAAAAGACCAGAATGGGCCTGTTGCATTTTTCAAATATTCTGGTCCATTTATAGTTAAAAATATACAAAATTAATGAAATATACAATTTGTTCTTGTTCTCATAAAATTGATTAACTGCCAAAGGTTGTTATTCTCTCCAGGGACTCCAGCTTCCTCCACCATTAAAAATTGGCCACCAGTCGCAAGGCTCAGCATGCTGAAAGTGGCATTTATAAACTGCATCAATTAATCAATCATTCAATTAAAAATGATGAAGCAAGTATCATTTTTATGAAATCTAGACTTGTTTCATTTTTAGAGTTCTTGACCTAAGGTTCTTTATCCTTTTATTTCATGTGTTGACTTTTTACTGTGATTCTCAAAAATGTAACTTTAATAGTTTTTTAAAATCTTTTCTTTTCTGTAATCTAGATTTTATCCTATTTAAATAAAAAGATTTTGCATATGATAAAAAAAGTTGACAAAATTAATTTAATTAATTAAGATACTAGACATGATAAGCTGGAAATATTTGTAATAGTATAAATTTTGAAAACAGAAAATAAATTCAAAGCTTGCAGTCTGATTACATGAAATTTTCCAACAGTCGGTATTTTAACAAGATCTTTGTCATATGCAATATCTTATATATTTATTTATCTTTGCAGTATTCAAAAATATTTTTATTTCAAGGTACAAGGCTTTGCAATGAATGAATACAAAATAACATGTTAATATTTTTTTTGCAAGTCCAATGAGATTTTAGGCCCGAAGTATGGGGCTCATGAAATTTTGAATGCTGGATCTTTTTAGATTTTCTTTAAATGACATTTTATTCAATTTTGTCTTTCATTGTCATTTAGGATTTGCTATAGTTCTCAAATATTCTTCTTTTAACATAGAATTTTCTTTATATAGTTTAAGAACATTTTAAACATAGGAATATAAGTTTAAGTTGCGTTTTCATAAATGCCAAGAGGATTTTATAAAGCTACAAGAAATGTTTGCATCTATTTATAGATTTTATTGCAGAATTTCTGAAATTTAGCTTAAAACATAGTGTAGTTGTTAGTTTAATGTTGCTTTCTTTTAATTCAGTAATTTTATTTTGCAATGTAACAAGAAAGGAATAGACAATTTTATGTTATTTATAATTTATAAGAAACGGGTAATTTAACATGAAGTTTTACTCTATAAAATGAAAAATGTAATTTTTCTCAGTTGTATCTTAAAAGTTTAAAAGTTTGTATCACTGAGAGAGATAAATGTGTGTTCAAACTCGTTTATATATGTTGAATGGTGAGAATATTTAATTGGATGCAGCTATTTATAATACAAGAGATTGGCAACTAGCCAAAGTCTAGTGATTGCGGCCCTTGAGATTTCATTGAAAGTGTTGAAATTTGAGTTTGAATCTTAGAGCTATTTTCCTAAATCTTGTAGTTTAAAGGTTTGGTTGGCTTGCTTGCTATGTTTGTATAAATGTTTGCTCAAGTACTGTAATTAAGATTGACATCTGCAATCAATAGATAGGCGGGGCTTCAGCTTGTATACATTATACTTAAATGTTATTGGATGTTAAGTATAATGCAGAGTATAAGGTATACAAGCTGAAGCCCTGCCTTATCTATTGATTGCAGATGTCAGTCTTAATTACAATGCTTGAGCAAACATTTATACAAACATAGCAAGCAAGCCAAATAAAACCTTTAAACTACAAGCATTGGGAAAACAACTCTAAAATCTAAAAATTTTAATAATACATGTATACCCTACTAGTATTATTAAGAAATCATTCAGGTTTTGTTGTTTTATTGCATAACGACTATAACAAACAAAAATAACGTATTAATTTCTCCAACCCTATCCCTTTTTCTGTGAAACTTAAATTTTCAATATGTTGATGTTTATTAAATCTTTATTTTACAAAATGCATTTTTATCTATTTTTAATCATATTTGGAGAATTTCTGAAATTGAAAAAAAAAAAGTTGAACTAAGGAATATGTCAGTTTGTTAAGAAGTATATGATTTGAACGTCAAATTGAATTGCCAATCTCTGGTATAATATTTCTCCAAGTAATCTTCTTTTTTGTGTATTGAATAGGTTAAATTTTGCGATGAGTATTAAATTAGAGAGTTTGCTTTTTAAACATGTTTGATAATGTGGTTTATGTCCACACATGTAGTTTTTTCTCATAGGTAATGAATGTAATTTAAGGAATTATTGTGAGGATTTATTTTGCTAATTTCACAATTTTGAAGATTAAATCTTAAATAGATTTGTTCTTTAAAGAAGATCTATATAACTTACAACAAAAAAAGCAAAAATAAAACCTGGCAAACCGGTATTGCATGGCAAAATCTAAACGATGTGATAATAAGCCACTCTACTGTACTATTGAATGACTTTTTGGCAACAAACTTAAAATTAAAACAAAATTGTATTTAAAAAAGGATTTTCTCTTTTGATCAACTTTGGCTGCATACAACTTTTTAAATTTTTTTTATTATTGTTTCATAAAAAATAACCAGATGCTGTTTAAATTTTAGATAATGTAACAAAATAATGAATGTTTCTTTGATCACATCATTCAGAATCATGCATCTCTCAGGCTTAACTCAGAATTTATTTTAAGACTTTCAAAGTAACCAGTTAGAAAAAAACAAAATGTTCAAACAGGTATGTTATTATGGACTGTTTGAATTGAGAACTTATCATTGAGATTATATTTGCTGTTGACATACTCCATTTAGTTGTAAAACGTAATTTTATCATTATTTCGTAGATTTGAGTATGAAATGTGACTATTAATTGTCAGTTCAGTACTGATTGCTAATGCTTAATTAGAATCAAATTTTACTCTTGAAATGGAGAATTTTTGTTACCTTGTCCAATTCAATGCAGTGTTCAATTAACTAGCAGGGAGCTAGGATTTTTTTGTTATTCACTCAGGGAGAAGTCCTGTTTTTGTAATTTTGATATTATTTATTTTGTTTTGCACTGCACTTATTTGAGGCCTTTTGTTTAAAAATATATTTTTGCAAAAATAAAACATTTTTTGCAAAACAGATTGTTGTTAAATATTTTGTACAGCGCAACATGTAGCCAAATTTCCTTGATAGTTGTGACAGTAGGTATTGACTTTCTTTGATACCAATTTTTGTCTCGCTTGTGACATAAGTTGCAGAATGCAAGACATTGGGATTACTATCCGCTGGCAGCGGTCACAGCGTAAACTATTTGTGTACAGCTTTATATTTAGAAGGTAGAAGACCTGGATGCTTCATACCTTGTATGCTGATGCAGTCTTGGCATATGTCCATTGTCATGGACCTTGTTTTTCATGGTACAGTGACTGCTTAGAAAAAAATGCATAGTTCATTTGTCATGTGAAATACTTGCATACTAGACATTTTCGAAAAGTAATCCACACGGACACTTATACCGACACCGATACCTACACTGACTAAAAAAATAGAGGGACCGTATCAAAATGTCAACATACACTAAATGAATTTGATTTAACATTTATAACTATATTAACGAGGTAAATTATGTTTAAAAATAAACGCATAAATTTTAATATGGCGACCCTGCAAATAGGATGGATATCCCATAGAAGAAAAAGACTCTCCTCGTAAAACTTTGTTTGACTCAGCAGAGGTAGAAAATAAATATAAATTCATTATTCTTTAGTTGGTTTTATATAATTTTTAAAATCTGAGCTAGAAACACAAAGTCCTCTCATCAGTTTTGCAATTCTTTTAGTGATGATTTGTGATATTCCAACTGTTTTCTTCTAATTGTCGAACTATACTGATTGACCTTTTTCAAGCAGTCAATTACATTTCATGTAGTTTTTGGGGTAAAATAACCAAAATGGGTATTCATCTTATCAAAAGAGAAAATCTGGTACACCTTTTTACGTTCAAGCGTGTTTGAGTTGACTCTTTTGTCCTGAATACGTATAAAGCAAAAATATTGATACATCAGTCTCGCTTCAGATCCATTATTTTTTTTTATACATTTAGGCTACATTTTGATATAATAACATTACACATTCACAGTACCAAAAACAGGAAATATATGGGTCAAGTGAAATATCTTTCTAACAGAGTAGGTGTGTTTGAATAAAATAAGAAAAGCTTCGTGCTATTTCAAATGTTTAAACTGGAAGTGTATTTCTTAGTTGTATTTTGTTTTACTTTCATTCACTCATTTTTTAGTGAAAAATTTAGGCATATTAATTATTTTATTTATGAAATGTATAAAAAAAAAGTGTGACAAATGTTGTTCACAAACTCCTCCTTGGATTTATACAAAAAGTCCATGACTTTATAAGTGGATCTTAAAAATGCATAACTGAAAAAAAAAACAATCTAGGTTAATTATTCTTCAACCTCTGCAAATGTTTAGTCTGCCCTTCCACGTAATACTTAAATAGAATTTTTTTAATGTTTTTATTAACTTTCAAATTTTCCCCCCACAACCAACCAGACAATAGTTTTTAGTTGACAAAAGTCCTAAAAGTACATGAGATGCTTTATAGCTAGTAGTAGATACATTTATTTTTTAAAACACAACTGTCATGTAAGGATCGTAATTATGCCAAGTGGTTAACTTTATCGGTTTTCAAGAGCTAAGTTGACAGCGCGGGTCATCCCTACAATGGCTTCCATTTTCACGATTGAAAAAATTAATCGGCGTTATTGAGAGATGATTTTGACGAAGTAGAATCCTGACTTTCTGTGGAAAGTTCTACTAATTTACACAAAGCCAAGCCCCCTTTTTTATAAATTATATGAAGATCGGTCAATTCTCAGCTTCTAAGCAGAGCCAATAAATCAACAAATCATTGAAAATATTTTTTTATACAGTATTTAAAGTGTAAATTATATATATATTTTTTTATAAATGCCTGTGCTCATTGTACACCTTGAGATGTCCCACATAAAAAAGTTACCTGTCGTCCTAGGCATAGGTGTAAGCGTCAGTGTCGATAAGTTTTCGAAAATGTCTATTATGAGAAATTGCACAACTTTGTCTGGTATATGGGATCCTTGGAAGGCCTACATGTCAATCAGACCAGTTTCACTTGACTTCAACCTCATTTCATGGATCAGTGATCAAAGTAAGTTTTTGTGGTGAAGTCCAAATCTCGGATACTATCAGCAATATGTCAACTATATTTGGTGTATGGAATTATTGTACATGTCAAACTGGCAGGTTTCATCTGACCTTGACCACATTTTCATGGTTTATTGGTCAATGTTAAGTTTTTGTTATTTGGTTTGTTTCTCGGATACTATAAGCAATAGATCAGCTGTATTATGTTAAGTTTATGTGATATTTGTAGTAAAACCTTCATATTTACTTTCAATCATAAGAAAAGCAGGCGAGACATTTCAGTGTGTGCACACTTGTCAATTAGCATCTCCTCCACTTGAAACCAATTGACCAAACTTCTATTTCAAAGTTATACATGTATACCCACTCACAAAATAGGTGATATGTTGCAACTGTACTTCCCCAAATTATTCATAAGTGTCCAATTTATACACCCACTCGAGGACCTTGTCCATATACCCACAACTTTTGTTACATATTGAGCAGCTTCTGTATTGATTACTTGAGAATTTGTTTTTCATGTAGTCTGAAATTTGATGTTGACGGTCACTAACTTCATTTCCTATTTGATAACACTTTGAATAAAATGTAATACCCACTGAGATGGAATCATTTGTCAACGTCTAATTACCTATTCCGTGATCTCTTATCCTCCAGTCCAGAAGGTTGTGTTTCAATTCTCTGTCAGGTCAATCGAGACTTGAATTTAGTATCTGCTGCTTCTCCCCCATTCAAGCAGTATTAAGGAGTAGGATTAGCACAGATACTGAATACTGTAAATTCAGAAATTATTGCATGCATTTATTATTGCGATTTTGTCATTTTAGACTAAAATGCGATTTTAATTTTTGCGATATTGAGAAAAATCCTGTTTAATTTATATATAAAATTTCAAAATGCGAGTTTAAATTATTGCGATTATAACCATGTCGCATTTTTTGCAATAATAAAAACATCGCAATAATTTCTGAATTTACAGTAATAATTTGTCCGAGAAGTATGACATGTCTACTTGCAGAATGTTGTCAAAAATACTTAAGCAGTAGGTCAAATATATTTGGTGTCTGGAATGATGGTAAAGTGTACAAGTCTGTCTTACAGAGTACATCTGACCTTGACCTCATTTTTATGGTTCATTGGTGAGTGATGTGTTTTCCTGGTTGTAATTTCTCAGATACAATAAGAAATAGATTTGCTATATTTGATGAATGGAATAACTGCAAGGTGCACATATTAGTAATAGTCTTACCTTGACCTCATTTTTTTGGTTAAAAAGTCAGCATTATGTTTTCATGGTTATGTCCGTTTCTCGTATACTCGAAGCAATAGGTTAACTCAATTTGGTGTATGGAATGATTGTAAGGCATAAATGTTCATCAGACTTGTAAGTCATTTTACATGGATCATTGATAATTTAAATTTTATGCAATAGACTTAGAATTAGTCCTCTTCACTTCTTGTGGAACATAGAGATGCCAAAGTCAATTTTAGGCTATTCTTTTTGCTTCACTCCAGGTATATCCAATCTCCTTCAGTTCCGTCAGCCTTGATCTCCAGCTGTGAAATGGTCTCCAATGTCCTTGAGGGTTCCATTCTAAAGCCTGTCTAGTGATAGTATCAACAAGTTACCTCAAGGTGCGGCTAATCCATTGCCATGTTCCATTTAGCTGATTAATTGCAGGTTCTGGGTAGGCACGTTCCCATAAGCTTTCAATACTAATTGTTTTGGGCCACCAAAATTTATAAATTTGTGGCAGGCATTTGTTGATGAAAACCTGGATTTTCTGTTGTACTCAAGCTGTAAGTTTCCAGGTTTCAGCTCCATAAAACGACTGATTTTACATTGGTGTTGAGGATTAAGTAAAAACACATCCGGGTAACAAACTAAAACCAAGGGAAACACATCAACATAAGAGGAAAACACATCAACTATAAGAGGAAAACAACGGAACAACAGAAACACTGAACTACAACAAAATCAAATGCCAACATACTGCCATATTCCTGACTTGGAACAGGACATTTTAAGAAAAAATGGTCCGTTGTACCTGGTTTTATGGCTAGCCAAACCTCAACAAAAATGGCAATGTTAAAAATACCGCTAAAATGACAACACTAAGTGACAGGAATACAGTACAAAGGCCATCTTCGCTAGCCAAGGGTTACGATCCACTTCCCTCCACTCCCCCCTTGGCAGATTAAGCCAACATTTGTGATAACAATGTTGTGCCATCTATCGGTAGATTAAAGTCACGCCTATTCCAATTCATTATTCTAGACCAATGGTAGCACTTCAACTCTTCAATTTAGAGGTAAAAACACGGTAGCGTCTAGATTCTACACACTTGGTAAAGCAGGAAACGAAAATATATGTGACATTCATGCATTTGTGCAAGAAACATACACAGGAACTTCTATTAGTTGATTAAAAACATAAATTGTCACTAAATATAGTCATATGTTTAGGGATGTAAAGACTTGTTGCAAAATAAGCACGTGTCAATTGTTTACATACACTTTCTACATTTACACGTGATCATGTTATAGGCACTTTTTGATTGGATGCAGCGAGTTTCGACTGCAACCAATGAAAATCATTACCTTGTGTCTCCGAATTTCTATCTCAATCCGCCAAGGGTGGAGAGGAGGGAAGTGGATCGTAACCCTTGGCTAGCGAAGATGTACAAAGGCAAGAACACTCAGCAAAGAGTATAAGTGTGAAGTAAGTTCCAAATCACTTGGTCTTTGTAGTTTCAGATAACATTTATGAAAATTGCCCTAACAGTACCAAAGATTGCCTCTTGTGGCAATGTTTTAGTCACATCACACAAAATGAGGATTGTTAAAGAGAACCATACATGCCAAGTTTGGTTAAAATTGGTTGATGTAGTTTTACAAAAGAGGAAAATTTACAAAAGGTCAGGTTAAACAATGATGGACGCCAAGTAATGGCAATAAGTCATAATTCAGGCCAGTTGTGCTACAAATACAAAACGAAGTGGATAAAATAGTTTATTGTAAATATTGAGATATAACAGTATATAGATATAACAGTATCATGGTGTTAACAAGTAACAGGTAGTATAAAAATACCGTTGAAATTTCATTATCAGTCTTAACAATTTTATTCAAAGTCCTCTTTCTCATTTGTTAGATTTAAGGTGGTACATAACACTACAGGGAGATAACTCTGTAAAAATCAGCTGAACGTTTTAATCATGTTCTATTCTTAAAGAAATATTAATCTTCTCAATGATCAAAATTATTGCTTGTCAAACTGCTATATACCCAATGAAATTTTTCGGATAAAGTGTGAAATTTATATATTTTTGTCAAAGGGTCAAAGTAAATATTTTGTCAAAATTTTATGAAAATTAAACGAGTCAGATTAATTTTAGTCGAGGTGTTTGGTACCACCTCAACATGTTTATTTAGTAGGTATTTTAACAGGAGTTCTACATGTAGTTCATAGAACCTGTGACCACAGACTACAGACACTCATTCAATCTCGTGTGTAGAACACCTGCAGAACTTGTTCCTCCCATACTTTTATCTTAATCCACCTATGAAAACTGGTCATCATGTTATGTTTGGGGCACTGATAGTTGTTTTAAACACAAACAAACAATACGTTATTAAATAGTAAATCTTCAATGGTATTTTTAAACACAGTGTAAGCTATTTTAAATTAAATAGAACAAGTGTAAAGTATCTATTCTGTAAATTATCTCCCTTTTAATATTTCATGTATCACAGAAAAGTTAACTGAAAAAATTGTCTTCAGAACACTGCTAAATTGATTGTAACACTATAACCAAATTCCATACAAAAGAGGTAAATTTTAAAAAGAAATTGAAGAGAAATAAATAATTTTTCCAAAAATTGTATTTTGGTGGGTACTTTAATTTGTGGTTTGGGCAAATTCTGCATATAAATGGCCTATTGGTAATTAGTCTTGTCCTGGCGCAATACCCTACAGGGTAGCTGTCATTAATCCAAATTAGCATAGCATAGTCTTGTTTAATACTAAAAATGTATGGTTGACCTTTACCCCTATTTCCACACAAACTAGTATCCCATGAGTAATAATAAATACATAGTACTTGCTTCACAAAATAACTAGAGGTTCCCAACAGTATGATTACAAAATAGTAACACAAAAATAGGTTTCTTGTTTACAATAAACATTTATAAAAGTTAACAAAAGTGAAAAAAGGTTTATTTTTCAGTGTGAACAATTTAATATCTTTAAATTTAAAAAATAACAATAATTATTTATAACAATAACCAACATTTTATACTTAGTCTAAATTTACCATAAAAATCAAGTTTGTTTGTAAATTTCAAAATAAATAAATATTCATAAATAAATAATAATCTGCTAATGCGATTTCTTATGACAACCAATTATGCTGACTAATAAGCATTCAGCGTTTTCTTGTATGAGTACTTGACTTACAGTTTTTAATTATAAGGTATACTTGACTTACAATTCTTAATTATAAGGTATACTTGACTTACAATTCTTAATTATAAGGTATACTTGACTTACAATTCTTAATCATAATGTGTACTTGCCTGCTTGACTTACAATTTTTAATTTTTATGGTAAATTCCAACAAAAGCATATAACAACAAAGTTGGAATGTATTACAATTTCTCTTCATGCAAGACAGATAAATACTACACAAGACATTAACGACACATGAATATTTTACTTTTAACCTCCATTATACGAAAAGTCACAATTAATATTAAAACATGCAAAAATTCATATTGTTAAAAAAAATTGAAAAAATTAACTTGAAAATATTCAATCTGAAAATATCTAATATATGGATTTAAATATTGACATGATTTATTGCACTATAAGATTGCAAAATTAACGTAATTACCCATAATTCAACAGACATTTTCATGTTAGTTAGTTGTAGTCCTACTTTTCCTTAGTTTATATAAATGAGGGTTGTTTTTTCTCTGATATAAACAACCAATTAGACTGAACAAAGTGCTTCCATCAAAAACCAGGAAAAAAATTCCACATGATTTTTTTTTTTCCAATTTGATGAAGTAAAACAAAAACACTAATTTATTATATTTACTTATATTGATCTCATAATCATATAAAATCTATCTAAAAGACTTTTGACAATTAACAGGGAATTACTCTAAAAAGCATCCTATTGTAAAGAAAGATAACTCCTTTTAATAATTACTATTAGGGATCAGTTACATTTGAGGAAAGACATATGATCCTGTAAAAATATCTTCATTTTTCATGGCATTAAGGATTTATGTACATGTACGGTGACCTATAGTTGTTAATTTCTGTGTCATTTGGTCTCTTGTGGAGAGTTGTCTCATTGGCATTCATACCACATCTTCTTATTTTTATATATGAGGATTTTCTCTTATTTATTACTTCAAATTCACTTAAGTTAATTCCCTTTTTCTTATCTGTCTTTTTTTTTGGTGAGAAATTTTGAAGTATGATAATTTGCTTGAAAATCTCTAGTTACTTAAAATTTCTCAGGTATTAATTTTCTCAAATAAATCCATATTTTTTATGAAAAGCAAATATTAGTTATAAAGTAATGGGAGACAACTTATGGAATTAAAAAAAAATAGGAGTTCTATGAGTATTGAGTAGGACCACATCTACAATGGCATGGTTTATATTGACACGATAAAATTTTAACCTGTTAGCAAAGCATTGATTATTTGAATATAGTTAATAAAATATATTTTGTGTTATCATACGATATTAATTGATAATTTGGAATAACTACTGTGTATTGATGATCATCATTCTGTCTAGATCTGTGGTACTACCATTTATTCTGAATCAAAGACTATTTAATTTCATTAATACGTTAGCATTGTGACCAAAGACTATACTAAACAAATATTTAGTTTCTCAAAAAAATGATAAAAAAAAAGGGAAACTCTTGAAAATTTTGATAGTAAACAGAATACATCATGAGCAAGTGCAACAACCAAATTAGTGATTTTTTTTCCTGTATTAAAAAAGGCTGTAAGCCAACCCCTTTTTTCATGGTAATATGACCCATCTTAATTCAGAATATATATATTACTATGTTTTACTATGTTGATATAACTAAATTAAACCTACTAATTACATAATTTTGTAACCATCACCTTTTAATATATATATTTATTTATTTAGTATACATGTTTATTTGTGGCAACTTCATTAAATATATTAAATATACTATTAGATTTTTATAAAATCAGCGGAACAAAATAACAAAGATATTAAATAAAATGCTCTCATTAATTTTCACAGACATTTAAGAAAGTTGGGGACTAGATATTTTCAGCTATCACAAAGATCAAGTCTAATAATAATCAGAATTCATATTCTGTTCAGCATTGAGCTTAGAAAATAGTTATATTATGGACTATGTTGGCATTGCCAAAACAGCAAGCTCAGTGTTTGTTAGCATTACCAAAGCAATCTTCATCATTCAATCAGATGATGCAGTGAGGGTGTAGATCAAGAACCAACAATAACAGTGCTATGGGAATGTTACTTTGTCATCACCATCACTCACTGAATTCAATACAAATTAACAAAATTATTTACACAACAATTTTTCAATCTTTCTGGGCCACCACAATTATTGTACTGCAGTTTTACTGATAAACAATTCTTTGAACGTAAATACAAGGATCTAAACACTCTGATGATGAAGTGGAGGTGTATGTAGATGGAGAAACAAAAATCGTAGTACTCATAAAAAAATGTTACTTCATCTAAGTCATCAGGCATTTAAAATTTTTATCCATACTATTTCTTCACAATTATATCAATGTATGAACTCAGTTCAAGATGGTACAAATGTATCACCATCACTTACTCAGTTCAATTTAAATTGACAAAAATTTTTACACAACAATATTTCCGTCTTTCTGGACCACATACAACTAAACCTTTATAGTGCAGTTTTATTGATAGAAAAAAAATCTTTGATCTATACATTTTCTAATAAAAAAATTCTTTATAAAAATAAAGAGATATGGTATGATTGCCAATGAGACAACTATCCACCAGAGTTATGTTCAGCAGTTTTATTGATAAAAAAATATTTGTCCTCCACTTTTTCTTTATACAAAAAGGGGGATAACAGACAAAATTTTGCAGAAAATTAACAAATAAAGAGACAATTTTTTTCTGCTCTTTACTCTTCAATAATCTAAAAAAATAACTCTGTACTTTTGGTGCAAAGCAACTGTTTAAAGCTACTGTGAATTATGCTATTATACAAGCATAGCATGTTCTACATTTAATATTTTTTATATCATTAAATTCTGTTTCAATATACCATTTCAAAATATCCATTAAAAAAATATAACAAATTTATGAACCAAATGCACTCATGTGTGGTTTTATTTGTGGACACTTGTCTGGTTTGCACCCAGAAAACAAGGAAATTTAACATCTTCACAAATATTGCTGTAAAAATATAAAATTACAAAAAAGCAAGAAAAAAATCTCTTCACAACCAAACATCTGATCCAACAAATATTATGTTTTCATTTTATAATTAACAATATGGGCTATTCCATTTTAAAGAATGTGGTAGGGTAGGAAGGTTAGTATTACTTTTAGTCACAGTTTGTTGGTCATTCACGGTTGTAAACTAGTTGCAATGTGCAAAATTATTCAAAGAATGTATGTTGGTCATCCGGGGAATTATAAAAATCCATCCCCAAAATCCATTTTAATGGAATAGTCCAACCCTAACTGGACAGACCTCCAATAATAATTATTGGTAGTCTTAAACACAACCATAACATGTGTATTTGTTTGTTTTCAGAAAGAAATAAAGGTAACACAAGGTATAATTCATCAATGCATGGGACAGCAATTCTAATTTTTCAGTAATCAAATGCATTGTATTTATAGTGAATTTTATTTACATATATATATATATTACCCAGTATTCTAAAATCTATATGCCTAAATCAATTCACTTTTTCAAATCTAATGTATTGAATGGTAACATTTTTGTTTAAATCACAGTATTTCATTGCAACCAATGTAATTAACACTTTTTAATAAAAATCAAGCTCAATATATACAGGCATAATGAAAATAAAATCTGTACAACCATTGCCTTAGAAATCATTTAATGACAGACATAGGTACCGTATGCCCAGACCTCTGAGTTTCAGAAATAAACATTGTGGATAAGTTTCATAACATTTGATTGAGGCAAACTAAAGTTAGAAAATGGAAACCAATTTTGGGACGTACAGACGGACAAGTGTAAAACTTAATGCCCAGTTGCCTAGTGGCGGAGGCATAAAAAGACTATTAGACAGAGTGAATTAGGTGTTATGTATTGATTAAGAAATAAAAATTGCTATATAGATTTAGTATTTTGCAAATAATTGTGCAATCATTGTGAAATGTCATATAAATAGGTGTTGAGATTATGAATTAAATGTATATATCTTCTAGAATCCTAATCAAAAACTATAATCTAGCTGAGCAAAAGCTCATCCATGCATAATGCATAACATACAAATACATAAATATAAACTTAAACAACAAAATATTATGTAAAATGTAATTCTTCAGATCAACAAAAAAGAAATGGAAGGATTGAATCTCTACCTTAGACAAATTCTATGAATCTTTACCTTAAACAACTTCTATGAATCTCTACCTTAAACAACTTCTATGAATCTTTACCTTAAACAACTTCTATAAATCTCTACCTTAAACAACTTCTATGAATCTCTACCTTAAACAACTTCTATGAATCTCTACCTTAAACAACTTCTATGAATCTCTACCTTAAACAACTTCTATGAATCTCTACCTTAAACAACTTCTATTTCAATGACAACAAGAAATTAAAAAAATTTAAGATAGCATTATGTAAAAAAGATTCTCAAATTTTCTGTGGATCCTTTGTAAAAGATTTCTCTTGCAATGTCTATGAAAAGAAAAGGTACAGATCTATAAATAGAATAACAGCACCAAACTTCAATAAAGAACAACTTCTGTTTATAGGGTTACCAGAAACTGATAAACCTTTCCTGTCAAATGTCAGTTTGTACTTCATATTAAGATTCATAGATCCTGACAAAAAACTCCCAGGAATTTGTCCAAAAAAATGCCACAAATACAAATTTACTATAATGGATTTGCTGGTTTTATGAACGAGACGATGCAATGCAAAAACTAAACATTAAACTTGTATATAACATGAAATAGTTATAGAAAACAAATAACAAAAGTAAAAGCAATAAATCAATGGATTTCTGACTTGAAATTATATCAACCATCAGGTCTTTATAAATATTAGGAACGGTTTTTATTAATAAGAAATAAGCAAAAAACTAAAAAAAAAAATCAAAATGGCAAAAACTTTCATTATTATGAATGACATTATCATACTGTAAATTCAGAAACTATTGTGAGGTTTTTATTAATGGGAATAATACATTTGGGTGAGTATCGCAATAATAAGAACTAGCACTCTGATATTCGATACATGTAAGATGTATGCAGTTTTTCCTGAAATCACAATAATAAATCTCGGATTTATGTCATTTATTAAAAATTAGCAATAATAAATGCAGGCAATAGCTTCTGAATTTACAGAATTTCAAATACTTGACAGTAACTGGCATGGTATCAAGTGACTCTAAAAAATAGAATTGTTTTACTCACAACGATACACAATACAAAAAATAATAAGAAATATTCTAGGCTACATCCTTCCTCAAAATATCTTAAAACAAAACAGCTTATACAACCAAATAATTTCAATTTGAACAAAGTGCCATGCCTAGTGAAGCATGATACAGCACCTAATTGACGGGGATTTCTAACAAATTCATTTATCTATAAATAAGTTATGCCGTCATATTTCTGAAAACTCGTGCAATTACAAAATGAACATAAAAAATGTTATTACATGATTAAAGATCAGAATTTTTCTTTCAATACAATATATTAGTTCATTACGAATCATTATTATGCTTATTGCCTTTTAGAATTGATGGCATTCTGAGAATTATTATCAAAAATGTAAACAAAAAATTTTGATTGGCTATCAATGTCCTAAACAATGAAAATTCAACCAATGACATGACTTCATTTTCATTTGGGAGTAAAAAAAGGGAAATCACCAGTAGCCCATCAAATTATAAAACGGCTAATAACTTAACCTACAAAGAGTTGAATTTATAAAAATTTGACAAAAAAAAATTCAATTGTGGTCTAAACAATGTCTCTAAATCAATTAAAATGGTACTCAAAGATATTTAAATAAATTCAATCACACCAATCTATTGATTATAATATTCAGCCCCTATCCAAGTTATACCAATCATTTGTAAAGTAAACTATTTTATTGTAGTTAACCAGGTAAAGTGGTTGAATCTGTTTCTCTCAGTGATTAAATGGAAAAGTTGAGTACATTGTTTGGAATGGAATGTATTTGACAGGAAATTATAGGAAACACATTTTAATATGAAAATGTAAATTTGAACAAAGGGATGTGGCCAATATCTATTGAGGGGGGACCTTTTTCTGGACGTCATGTTTGGGTCTTTATTTTTACAGAATTCAGGATTTACACTGATCAGGACTCAGTAATTAATAATTAAGTTGTTTGGGATAAATTGGGGAAAGAATGCTTTATTTTTTCAAGAATTCTGGATTCATCATCTATTTTTCTGAGATTGGGGATGACATCCTATCCAGTATTATGCCACTGCTCTCCTACCGTCCCTCCTTCCAGAATGACAATTATTTCAAAATAGGTCAGAATTTACAGAAACACTGTGTTTCATCACAAAAAAGAAGACCTGTGCTATCATGACTATACCCCATCCAAAATAAAACTAATCCTATCATGCTTAAGATGAAGTGAACATAATATCAATATATAGTTGTGGTTGGTTCAACAATTCATGCTTCTTGAAAAAAAAATCCATTCAGGAGGCAGATTTTTAACAGAAGTGAAAGGCACCTGAGAAGGTAGGCATTAATTTTTTTTAGCCTTATCTTAAATGACTTTTTTTTCAGCATTTTGTGGTTTTTTTTTACAAGTCCTAATTTTCTAACATTAGAAAATTTATTTCATTTTCTAACTTCACTTTTGGGATCACAATAGATAACAAGTAGTTTAAGTAACATTGTGTCACATCATGACAAACACCACAGCGGCCATTTTTCTAACATCCACATCCACCTTCACCTGCTTCGTCCATATGGTAACCATTCATCTGAGCTTTACTTCTGATCCCTGGCAGTTGAGATTTGTCCACACAACTCTCCATCCTTAGCATCACCATGTCTAGCAAACATTCTATAGACTTAGCAACATTCTGACCATTTGCAGCACTTGTCTCAAAATATGGAAGACTGAAAGAATCAAAACATTATATACAAAAATGGAATTTGCCATTTCAGAACCTGAAGTATTCTAAAAAATATATTCTTATGCATATACTGTTGATTAATTCATTTTTGTGGATACTTATTTCTTGTATTAAAATATAAACAATACATGTAGTAGAATATTTTCAAATGGCCAATGAAATTTATAAGAAAGTCCAAATTAAAAACTTGTCGATTTCGTGGTTAAAGGTGAACCACAAATTTCTACAGGCTTCTATGCAGACTTTGGCAAAACCATGAAATCAGTATCCACGAAAATAAATAAAATGAATCTACAGTCTATGTATACGATGAACTGAAGTACTAACAGTTCATATGCCCGACTGACCCTCATATTTTCAGATTTACAACAAGAAACATAACATATTTTTTTCTAGGCCTTACTAAACATTTTTGCTAGATTCTTACTCAAACTATTAAGTTGGATGAATTAGTGTTTTAAAATGTCCAGTGGCAAATAGTACATGCATATCAGGACAAGAACATGTTGATGTGACTTGAATATTAATATGAACCCTGTGAAGAAAATTTGAATTATCTAGACCGACACTCTCAACAGGTTTTATAAAATGCTACATCCTAAGGTAGCAGTTGGCAAGAAGACATCCTCTCTACATAAGTGTGTTTTGAGTCTGTGTAACAATTCTTTCGAAATTATTCAATTTTATCATATTTTCATGATTTTAGTCAAAAATCGGCATTTTTGGCTGTATATTTATCTAAATTAAAAAAATGTCATCAGTGATCAGTTTCTAAAAAAAATGCATCTTTTCTCGATATGTCACAGTTTGACGACGTGAAAAATAATATTTTACGTTAGTGACGTCATTACCTCCCCTGTAACTGTATCGTATGCCCTTAATTTGAATGTGTAAATCTTGAAATGACTCAAGTACAAATACAATATTTAACCCAAATGTCAATAACCAGTCAATAAAAAAAAAAAAAAAAACAAAATCTGAATCTTTCATTCTCTTACCCAAATTTTTCTGCAGTTTCTCTCGCTCTCTCATCAGAAATACATCTATGATCTTCAAGATCCGACTTATTACCACAAAGTACAATATCAGGGTTTTCACAATAGGCATGTGTCTGTAATTGACTGAGCCAGTTCTGTATATTTAAAAATGATTGCTCATTGGTTAAGTCAAATAATAGAAGGAAGCCCATTGCATCTCGGAAAAATGCTGTTGTTAAACTCCGAAATCTGAAATCACAAAGAAAAGAAGAATAATGAAGCATGATATTAAATTTCAGAGAGCTCTGATAAGTACTTCCTGGGAAAAATGTAATTAAAATTAAAAACCAAGGCAATTATGATTTGATTTTGATTTTTGGTGTTTTAACGCCACTTTTAAGCACCGCTTTTGAGCTATTTCGTGGCGGCCAGTTTTTATTTGTTGAGGAAGCCGGAGTGCCCGGAGAAAACCACCAACCTTCGGTAGGAAAACTGACAATCCTAGTCAATTAAGATTGGAGTCGAGTGCACCTGCACGAGCGGGGTTCGAACTCACAACCTCAGTGTTGACTGGCTAGTGATTACAGTAGTAACTACTTAGACCACTCGGCCACCCAGGCCCCTCAAGGCAATTATGTGTAGCATACATAAATTATATTTATTATAAATTAGGTTGTTAGTTTTCTCTTTTCAAGTCGGAGCCTTTTATACCTGACTGTACGGTATGGGTTTTGCTTGTTGACATTGTTGTAGGCTGTAAGAAGACCTATAATTGCTTATATCCAAGTTATGTGAAATCTGGTGGATAGTTGTCTCATTGGCAATCATACAACATCTCCTTATTCTTATATAAGTACATGTATTGGTACATGAAGTTGATAAGCAATCAATTTGAAACACAGAATAGCATGCTCAGAAGAAGCTTGAAGCCAAATTTCAGGATACTTTGGTTTGCAGTTCCTGAGAAAAAGTACAATGAAAATTTCATGGAGTGGACAGATTGGTGCACACGAATAGACAGAGATGAACCGGCCCCTTTGAGCAAAGATATAATAAATGAAAAATAAGAGAAAAAAGCATGCATGATTTTTATACATTATAATTTTTTACATTATAAAGACTTCTGAGCAAAAACCAGCTCATATTTTCAACATGTGCTTATCCTTTTGTAATTCTCAAGACTTTTTCCTTGAAAAAGATATTAAACCTACTACACCTGGTAACACTAAACATTTAGGCACATCATATTCCAAAGTATGTGCAAATAAATGGGGAATGTGTCCATGGGACACAGATGATGCCCCCGCTTGCATATCACATAAAGTTATAAAGGGACATAACTGAAGAACGGTAAAAGTGATGCTACTCAAATTTATACTTAATCTGAGTTTTGTGGTAATAAGTATTGTGTTTTTAGTTTCATAACATTTGGTTGAGGCAAACTTAAGTTAGAGAACAGAAACGAAAAGTTAGCAATTTTTTCATTTGTAAAGGGGCATAAGTCTGAAAAGGTTAACGTGACATCACCAAAATTCAAACTTGATCTGTATTTTGTGGTGTTAAGCATTGTGTATAAGTTTCATAACATTTGGTTGAGGCAAACTAAAATTAAAATTAGGAAACGAAAATTTCAGCAATTTTTCCTTTTGTAAAGGGGCATAACTCTAGAACAGTTAATGTGACGCCACCAAAATTCAAACTTGATCTGTATTTTGTGGTGATAAGCATTGTGTATAAGTTTCATAACATTTGGTTGAGGATAACTAAAGTTAGAGAACGAAAACGAAAATTCAACAATTTTTCCATTTTTAAAGGGGCATAACTCTAGAACGGTTTAAGTGACGCCACCAAAATTCAAATTTGATCTGTGTTTTGATGTAATAAGCATTGTGTATAAGTTTCATAACATTTTGTTGAGGCAAACTTAAGTTAGAGAACGGAACCCAACATTGGGACGTATGTACGGACAGACATACGGACGTACAGACGGACAAGGGTAAAACTTAACACCCCCTCCACAATGGCGGGGGCTTAAAAATAGAACAGACCTAAATGATATTCAGGAATCTGTGACACTTAAGCTTTTCCCCAGAATTAAGACACTTATACTTTTGATATCACAATACAATTACTTTCTTTTGTACCTCAACATTTTACAGAGGAGTTGTAATGTTCAGTAATGATGAATAATATAACAACAAGTAATGATAAGGTCTATTGGGGGCCTGTTCATATAAACATCTTCTGGGTGAAACTTTGCAACAACCTTCACAGTGAAATAACACAGAAAAAAGTAATTTTTACCTAATCCATCAGGGATAGAATTTTTTTTTTAAAAGTGGGCAAACACTTTTCAAATTTCACTTGCCCTTCCAGACTTTTACAAGTCCTTCAAAATTGAGAAGAAATTACCTTCTAGATCTGTAGTTACCATATCAAAATGTTTTTGTGATAATGAAAATTAATGACACATTTTATTAGGTTTTGACATGAAAATTTGTGGACTTAAATATCTTTGGAGTTTCTGTATAAAATATTTCCTGTGTATTTTTCATTTTCATACATGTCATATATCTGTATATCCTTTGGTTCAATTCTAGAGTTTATATTTAATAGCTGTATTTTAGCCTTAGGCTGAGGCCAAAAAAATATATATGTGTTCACTATCACGCGGTGAAAAAAAGGGTTTGTCAGTGGGTCACTAATTAATTTTTTAACAATTCATTTGTATTTGATCGGAAAATCATGAATTAGCCTGCTCACCTTCCAGAATCAGGCCCAGTATTGCATTTACCTTTCTTTCTGGTTTATAGCGGCCATTTGTCTCAATTTTTTTTGTCGGTCAGATATGTGTTTACTCTGATTTACATATTTTCGACATTAAACTAGCAGTTCAACAAGCAGAACGTCGCTGTCGAGAACAATAAAGACAAAAATATAATTTGCCCAATTTTCAATATAACTACTTCCAGAAGCAAAGTAGCCGGCAGGCAGATGTCCCTAAGAATCTACAAGCCCATCATGAAACTTAGAGACCACAGGCCAGCTGGAAACCGCTTATTTAGAATCATGATTCATCTTTGTACAGTTCTCTGAGTTTAAATACAGTAAATTGAGTAAAAGGGAGCTATTATAGCAAAATGTGTGTAAATTTTGTACAGTAAATTGAGTTAAAGGGAGTTCCTATGGGAAAATGTGTGAAAAGAATGGCAATGAAAAATGATTATAAATCTAGGAATTATTCCATTCAAAAAAAATGTTATCATGGTCATTATCATCATGGTTTTTCTTTACCTATATAATAAGGAGCTGTAGTATGTCTACAAATGAGTCAACTATCCAACAAAGTCCAAATAAAGCGGATTTAAGGAACAATAGGTCACTTTAGGTCATGACCTTCAGAGGTCATGAAATTTGTTTGTATTATGTCACCTTACTTCTGATCTTTTAGACACTTCAATTTTTTGTACCTTTTTGTTTGTTTTAAAAGGGTTTTTCTGTTCAATATCTTGTAACTGTTTATTTATAAGTATCTTTGCTTTAGTTCGAAAATATATACAACTAATTCAAATTAAAAGTCCTGTTAATTAATTATGCTTTTTACCTTTCCTGACCAGCAGTATCCCATAACTGTAAATGTATTCTGTTACTCTTCCCTACAGCACCATCAATACCTGGAACTCTATGTACCTAGAAAAGGGGAGATGAATCCATAAAATAACATGCAAGGTAATATAATTACCCTATATCATTTTTTGGTTGTTTTTTTTTTTTTCGCTTTGTTTGTGGCAGCTGAACATGCTAAAGAAACACAAAATTTGACCCATCATAAATTTCCTTGCATATTCTAAGATTTATCGCTGTTTCATACATTATGCTGTTAATTATTAAGTATACACAAATATGATTTGTAAACTCTTTTCACCCTAAAGTTGAAATAACATTATATATAAAATCAGTCTTTTGTGTATGTGTATTTTAGTTTTTAGGGTCCTATTAATACGTAATCGATAACCTGTTTGTCAATCAAATTTATGTTGTTTACATCTTTAACAAGATGATACATTTATTTTTTCCAGCACATTTTTCATTTAGCAAAAAATCATACACAGTGAAAATTCAACCTGCCCTTTTGTTATCAAATCGCGTAAACAGACCCAATATACTGTATGCTAATCAGGAAATTTATGTTTAAGTTGAATATTATTGTTTTGGTCTTTATCACAAATTGTTGCGACCAAATACAAGCCTATAGGGAATTTCATCTATTCCCACGAGTTCCACGAAAAATTGGTACTCTATGAATAATGATGAATCCACAGTAATCATAATATTTTTGTCTCTTTTCTATTGAGATATGATACGAAAATATTCTCAAAAGCAAATTTAACTGCCCCAAAACGTTTTTCTTTTGTTTCTTAAGGTGTTACATATCTCTGTAAAAATCAGCTGAACGTTTTAATCACATTCTATTGTTAAGGAAATATAAAGCTTCTCAATGATCTAAACTAGTGTTTGTCAAACTGCTATACGTGTATATCCAATGAAATTTTTCTGATAAAGTGTGTGGTTCAAGTTTTTTGAAATTTTAGTATTTTTGTCAAAGGGTCAAAGTAAATATTTTGTCAAAATTTTATGAAAATTACACAAGCCAAATTAATTTTAGTCAAGGTGTTTGGTACCACCTTAAATTATGTTAAATATATCATTTGTATATGAAGATCTTCTTTAAGATATATACTAGAAGTCTTTACTTAAGAATCTGATTATTGATTGCCGATTGTCTTTTAGTAACATGAATTGAGCAAATTTCAATAGTTTATAACTGGTAAGAATGCTCAGGTTACATGTAATTATGTCTGTGTATAAATTAGAGATTTTATAAAAAGGTACAAAACTCTGCATTTTTCCTGTCAGAGTAGATTGATTTATTGATTGAGCGGGGTTTAACGCCACTTTCAACACTATTGTGCTATTTCGTGGTGGTCAGTTTTTATTGATGGAAGAAGCTGGAGTGCCCGCAGAGAATCACTGACCTTCAGTAGGAAAACTCACAATCCTAGTCAATTAAGATTGGAGTCGAGTGCACAAGCCCTGTGCAGGATTCGAACTCACAACCTCAGTGTTGACTGGCTAGTGATTCAGTAGTTGGACTACTTAGACCACTCGGCAACCAAGGCCCCCTGTCAGAGTAGATAGCTGGGCTCTTGGTTGGACATATCATCAATTGATTAATTTTTACTTCACCCTGCTTTTCCCTCAGTAAATGGCATGAGGATAATCATAGCTGGTCAAGAGAAGCTGTGAATTGAAGCAATACTTAATATCGACAGCAAATTCCTTAACTCCATTTTGTTTGTAAAATTTTGGCTAGAAAAACCAAAATTGTGAACTTTAAGTGAAATAATTTTAATGAGTTGGAAACCTTTCTACTTACCACCCTCTTCTCTTTAAAATCAATGCCGACTGTTGAGATGAACTTTGAACTAAATGTGTTGTCAACATACTGATGTAAAAAACTAGTTTTACCAACGCCAGAATCACCTACAGTGAAAATTTGTCTATTATAAAAATTATTACCTTACATGAGAAATGTCCAAACAAGTTCATTACCTCACATGAGAAATGTCCAAGCAAGTTCATTACCTTACATGAATAATGTTTGAATCACATAGTTTTTACCAGTTGTAATGGAAAGGTTAGTTGGTCATTACTTTTGATATCATCTAATGATCATGTTTCTGATTAAGATCTAACATTTGTCTAATGACTATTCGAAATTTAAGGTTTTGGTGGCAAGTAGATTTAGGGGGGCGGCCCAGGGAGCTTGGGCCCCCTTATGGTTAATCCAGACATTTTACCAATATTTCCCCAAATTTTGTCTAGTTTTGGGGTCTGCAGGCCCCCTTTTTCAGAATCCTTGATCCGCATCTTGTGACAAATACATTTCCCATAACCTTTTAGATCATCAACTTAAATAAAGAAAATCACACTTTTGCCAAGGATATCAACATTTTTTTAAGAGTTAAAACGCAGACCCATAGTAAAACTATTGTGAAATCTCATAGTATAGGGGTCTGGGTAGAAGTTCTGAAATGTCAGAATCTCCACCCATGACCATGTAACAAATGTATGTTCATTTTATACTCCCACAGAAAAAGTTAGTGGTGTCAGGATTGTTCACTAAAAATATACACGGGACCCAAGGAAGGCACTTCAAAATATCAACTATGGATGGGTGTTTTTGTACAGTAAAAGTCTTAAGAGAAATTCTAAAATTGCCTCTAACATGTCTAAAAGATGATGATTAACCCATTTTCCAATTATCTTCCTTGGGTACCATGGATGTTATAATGAAACATTCCTCACCTGATTGGCCAGGTTATTGAAATTTATGATGTCAAGAAACTTGAGTGCTTGTGAGCACTGAAAGAGTAAAGCATGTTTTCAATGTGCATTGTGAACATAAAATTGAACATTGCATTGAATTGTGAATTGAGTTATTTCCCTTTGTCCATAAAAAATATCAATTCATTTACAATAAGGATCTGAATGGGGTTTACAAAATAGAGAATAATAGACTAATACTACGTATACAGATTGATTGATTAATGGTTGTTTAATGCCACTAAAATACTACAGAACAATGGGCGAAAATAAAGTAATAGGGAATAATGGGGTGTTAAAATATAAACTCATAAAGAATAGAGAATGATAGGCAAAATATAACGAACTGAGAAAAATGGATTAAAAAATTAACAATTACAGAATTGACAGACACCCATCAAGACCCTCATGTCTAACATTGCACTTCCTGCAACTTGTGTGTTTCTAATCTTCTAAAATAAAAAAGTTTCCTCGAAAAGTATGGTAACACACATTTTTTGGTGGGGTTCGTGTTGCTTTAGTCTTTAGTTTTCTATGTTGTTTCATCTGTACTATTATTTGTCTGTTTGTCTTTTTATTTTTGGTCATGGCGTTGTCAGTTTGGTTTAGATCTATGAGTTTGACTGTCCCTCTGGTATCTTTCGTCCCTCTTTTACTTTGTATATTGAAAGTCTGAACATATATATCAATTGATTGCATGATATGGCAATGAACAGCAGCATTCTTACTCCTATATAAGGTCTGATGGGTACAGTTTTAAGATGAAGGACACATTAAGGTGTTTTTTTGGTTGAAAAAGGACAACTTGCCCATGTTTACACAAAAAATTGAAATATTGAATAAATCAATGTAGTTTTGGGTTGTAAAAACTTTTTTAGTATGTAGCTGAAATATTTTATTTTTGCTTTGAAAAATAGAAAGGCAGAGATGTGTGTACTTACCAACCATAGCTAGAGAAAATGTTGAACTTTAATCTTGCTAATTAACCAGGAACAGGAGCAGAACTTTGAAAAGGGAAGGGAAGGGGAATCACAGATTTTACAAAAAAATTGGCTGATTTTATGCTTAACATAAAAAACCCTATTAAAATTGAGAAACAAAAGATTTTTTTTGGGCCGATCAAAGATGGGATATCCACCCTCTACGCCCCCTGCTTACAAGACAGTGTCAGTAGGTGTATACTTTATACAATCTGTCAGCAGGTGTATACTTTATACAATCTGTCAGTAGGTGTATACTTTATACAATCTGTCAGTAGGTGTATACTTTATACAATCTGTCAGTAGGTGTATACTTTATACAATCTGTCAGTAGGTGTATACTTTATACAATCTCAGCAGGTGTATACTTTATACAATCTGTCAGTAGGTGTATACTTTATACAATCTGTCAGAAGGTGTATACTTTATACAATCTGTCAGTAGGTGTATACTTTATACAATCTGTCAGTAGGTGTATACTTTATACAATCTGTCAGTAGGTGTATACTTTATACAATCTTTTTCTTCTAACTACAATACTTATGGTACTCAGGCAAGTGGTCCACATCTTGTGGCCTTTTTGGCATGTTTTGACTTTTTGGTGTCGATGAATGGGTTGACAGCTGCCATATTTTTTTTTTCATGATTAAAAAAAAATCTGACGAATTTGGTGTTCAACATGCAAAATGGACTTGTGTTATAAATCTATCATACTATGGCAATACAATTTAACAACTAATCATTACCTAATGTAAGAAACTTGATGAGATAATCATAGTCAGTGGTGCCATGTGTTGGGGTGGTATCACCCATTTCTAGCTCTGAAAAAAAAACATGTATTTCATTATTCAGTATAGATCCATACAGAGATCATCCCTGCCTAGCTTCTCAACCAGCATTGCTCAGAACCTCCACAAGTTTTGTCTCTTTTCTATTAAAATTAGTTTTAAGAATTATTTTTAATTCAAAGTATTTTATTGTTCAAGTACCAAAAATACATTTAAACAAAGGGATGAATTGGACAAAAGGCAAATCCTTTCCCACATGTTCCATGTAAGATAGAATGAATAACTTATTATATATATATTTATTTATATAATACACCATTTTCTACCATTGTTTGTCTACATTAGGAAATGTCTGTACCAAGTTAGGAAAATGACAGTTGTTTTCCATTCGTTGATGTGTTTGAGCTTTTGATTTTGCCATTTGATGAAGGACTTTCTGTTTTGAATTTTCCTTGGAGTTCGGTATTTTTGTTATTTTACTTTTTCTGATAATTCATAGATCATTCATTATTGCAGCAAGTCAGGGGAGACAACCTCCCTCCCCCTTCTTGAAGAATTAATAAATCCTGAATATTACAGACTGACAGGCATGTATCATTCATCTTTAGTAGAAGAATGATTCTTTCTCTGGATAAAAACAAAGTTTCGGAATATTTTTTTCAAAACAGACAGAAACAAAAGAAAATTTTTTGAAACTCACAATGTTTTTCTCTAATTTTCAATGGAAACAGACTATTTTTTCACTTCCTTTCTGAAACATATATATACATGTATATATATTGGGGTTTTTTAAACTTAGAATCAAACATTTTGTTTTAACTCATACTCAACCACAAAAGATAAATGGTTAGTATTATTCACATTGTTTATAATGGTAAACTCAGCTACATACATTTGTATATACATGTCAGCTTAACATACATTCTGAAGATATCCAGAGTTACTCAATGCATGGTATTAAATATAACAATAGGTCTTCAGGGTCCAAATATTAGCAGAATTCCCAATGAAAAAATTGCTTAATTTTTCCAATTTCAGTCTCAGAATTCCAAAAGTCAATGAAAGTTGTGTGACGAAATTGTAATTTCACATGCACATTAGATGACAACTCTTTCAAATCATTTTCTAGTCATTCAACCACTCTGCATGTGTGGTTCTTTGGTTGCCATGGTAACAGGATAACAAACCACTTATATCTGGTACACATTTTCAGTGTTTTCCATAAGAACCGGCTGCTGGCCAAATTGTCCGTTTCAAACAGTTTTTTGGCCGGTTCAATCGTCATCAGTAAAAAAAAATATGGGTGCATATTTTACTTATTGGATTAATTTGAACCTCACAATTATTATCATTGTTCTTGGTTTATATTTACATTTGAGACTTCCGGTTAGTATTGCTGTCGGAACACTTGGCCATTATCCATTGAACGAGATTTCTAAAGAAAAACTCGAGAGATATCGAGTATATATACAAAGCCGTGCCATGTGATGAATGATGAAACTTTCAATTACAGATTTTTTCCCCACTAAGCGACACAAAGGTGTGCATTTTTCCAATAATATATTGATAACGTTTGCATGCATGACATGAGTTTGATTGTTTTTCAATTTGTTCTGTTGTGTTTAGTTTAATTCGCGAATGAATCAATGGCATGATAATTGATTTGCATTACGGTTCGAATTGACCCACCAAGGCCTGAAAACTTCAAACGAATGCGGAAAATTTCCTACGATGAAGGAATATTTACAAATATTTTTTTGAAAAAAATACTGCTAATAATATGTCCATTTGACAAGCATGAAATCTTGTCTTAGAATTCACCAGATGCCACAATTTTGAGTCTAGATGGCCACAGACCACAATTAAACTCCTCTAATAGTTCTTCATAACGTTTTGTCTCAAGAAAAAAAATCCACCTAGTCTTTTTGTCAAATCTTTTGTGTGTGTATTGTAGAGTAAAATATATCCAACATTCAGAAAGATTGCACTCCAGCATCTTACAAATTTAGCCAATAGACATCCATACCCCTATGGACGAGTCAAGAGATGTTCCAAAAACTGTAAATATTACAAAGTTGTTTTTTTACTCACAATCATGTATTGAATATTTTACAAAGAAGAAAAAGATTGTTCTGCTTTGGTAAAACATGTAAAAACTTCTTTTAAGGCATGAACAACATAGCACTACAGCTCGGGTGGATTTTGCTTTGTCCACTGGTCCACCATGGGAGTGGGCACCGGTTGGGCAAAATTTGTACCTTGTCCACTCTGCCCACCTGTCATGCCTGTAGGAGTGGGCATTCAATTTCTTTTGTTTCATCTAAAGACTTGCAAGTACAATCACTTGAAAAAAGCAGATAAGCATTTGTAATCAATATTTTTACAAAAAAGAGATTATAGCTAGAGTGGGCACGAGTGGACTGCCCACGGTGGGCCGGTGGAAAAAGTAAAATCCACACGGGCTGTTGTGTACATGTACCTTTTTGCACCTGCCCTAATCACTCTTTCCATATCAAAATCAGTTAAAATACAACATCCAATCATTTATTTTAACTCTCTTCTTTCATTTCCACCCCATAAAAACTAAGAAATGAATGAGAAAGGGAAAGAAATAAATTAAAGAAAAAAAATACACTTTAATTAAAGGGAAAGACAACGAAAAGCGGGGTCATTAATTGTGGTCTCGAGCCAGATTTCAAAAAAAAGTTTTGGGAGGTAAACCCCCCCCCCCCCTGAATTTTCTGTGACCGCCTATATAATCATTTTGGCCTCTTAGGCCCAAATGAATGGAAAATGTCCTTTCTTATTTATGTCTGGAATCAGATGGAACCTGTTCAGAACACGCCAACTGAGCGAACCCCTAGTACTTGTCAGGAACAGACAAACCAAAGAAATGTCTGCAAATTCATTACCAAATGAGGTCTCCAAATTACCACTCCAGTCTGGGTACCATAGATGTGTATGGGAGACCTTTCTATAAACCGAGTCAGGATAAAACACTGGACTTTCAGAAGTAAAGCCATCGGTCTTAACCATTAGGCCACGAAACCACAACTATAACACATAGACTTACATGATGAAAGAAATAACTGGCCAGCATCGTACATGTCGTACCTGTAAGGCGTCCCAGAATAAAAAATAAAATAGCTTTCAAGACGTCATAATTATTTGGACTAGGGTGTGACATATTAAAAACATTTTAAAGTTAAAACAATCAATCTTAAGAAGTAAAGCTGTAGTTAAATGCATATCGATAACCTATACACTAAAATATTAACCTGGAACAGACAGTTTGCAGGATGAATACTGTATAAATATGTCATTAAACTTGCCAGCAAAACTTTACCAATATTTATACTGTTAGAGTTACTTCCCTTGTCACAATCGGTGAAAAGGAAAATATTTCCGGTTTTACAGAACGACAATCTGTTCCGACAATAAAATGCACGAAGGATTTGTATAGTATAGTGTCTTACTATACGAATCCTTGTTATAACTATTTAAAATTTATAGTCTTTTCACTAGCAGGGAATTTTAAATAATTGAAGGAGTCATTAATTCCAGCGACACAACCGGTGAAGTACTAAGGGAGCTACCATTTGATTTTTATGGGGGGGCTAGGATGAAATTTGAAAAAAAGGCAGGACAGGAGTTTTGAGTAAAAACAAAGGCAGGATGAGACACTTGCAAAAAAAAGTCAGGATGACAATTTAGGTAAAAAAAAGTCAGGATAAACTTTTAAAAAAAAAGGCAGGAGCAAATAGAGTGAAAAATAAAAAGGCAGGACAGAGATTACAACTAAAGAAAAAGTCAGGACAAAATTTTTCATCCTAGCCCCCCATAAAAAACAAATGGTAGCTCCCATAGTACTTCACCGGTTGTGTTTTTCACAATGGGAAAAAGTTCAAAACCGTATAAGAATTTGAAGACAATCCAAAAAATATCAGGACAAAACACAACCAATAAAAGTGCCGGGGAGCGTCTTTTTACCACAGAACACCACAGAATACCACAGAACACCAAAAATATACCACAGAACTTCGAAATATAAATACTTCAGACATTATATTATTGTTATTGTTAATTCTTTTTATAATTTGACTTTTTATTATTCAAATAAATTTAATTTTTCTATTTAGGGTCGACTCACTATCGCTACGCCCCAAACTGAATTGGCCTACAAGTTACTGGGTCTATACCAAAAACACCTACCGGTATTAAAACAATTGTAATTCTGTGGTATTTATCGTTGTAGTTGTCATTTTTGTTTAATTTTATGTTAAGAGTTGTTACAATATGAATAAGTACATGTATATTATTAAATATTGAATAATAGTACTTGGAAAACGTTCTCTGACAACACTAGCGGCAACTCAGATGGACATCACAAACTAGTAAATTAGTTTGGCTTTTGAAACACTGAATAGATTCTTGATACACTTGATGCAGTTCAAAACCAAATACTGTCGGCAAGTCAGATGAAACATTGTATACACATACTTTACTTGAGATGAAATAAAAGTCATTGGACAATATTTCAGATTTTTACATAATTTTGTATGCATTTAGAAATAGTTGAACTGCATCTAAATATGTTGAACAGTGGCAATGCAATTTACAGTCAGAGAAAGCTTTATCTGGTAAAGGTGGTAACAAACTTCGAAAATATAATTTATTTAAGAACAGTTTTGAAACGGAAACTTATTGTGCAATTCCAATGTCATTTTCACAAAGGAGTTCTTTTGTCAAATTTTGATGTGGTGTAGCACCACTAAGAACCGAGACAGGGAGATTTGAAAAATTACCTTTAAAGGAGCGAGTCTGTGATAGTTATAAGGATATTTTAGAAGATGAAGCCCATGTAATTTTATCGTGCCCTTCAGTTATATGACGATTTTAGAAAAGAATTATTTGATGAAGACATGATACATTTTAATAGTGATTTTATGTCTTTTGATGATAAACAGAAATTAGTGTTTTTATTTACAGATGTTAATATGATTCTGAATTATTAGTTTTGCATTTTGTAAAGTAATTCAATGTTCTGTGGTATATTTTAGTAGTTTTATTGTATTTTGTGTAGTTCTGTGGTATATTTTGGGTGTTCTGTGGTATTCATTGGTGTTCTGTGGTATTCTGTGGTGTTCTGTGGTAAAAAGACGCTCCGAAAGTGCCGTGGTGCATTTCACATGTAGCATGTGTTTGGTTCCTAGTTAATCAAGAAATGCTGCGAGCGTGATGTCTGGTAATGTTTCTGGCATTAAAACCCGCTTACAGCAAATCCAATCAAGAGCATATATCTGTATTGAAAAGCGCACATTTTGAATCTTGTTGTTAAGTCCACTATTCTGTAAGTCAGTTGATATGGTTTCTTTGAGGATTCTCAGCTGTATGGTTGACTTGCTGTGTCATCATGGTCATTAAAATAAACCCCATACCCATTTCCTTTTATTCGTAAAGAATTTAAAATCTGGGACATTCGAACATTGAAAATGTTGAAGGTACCAGTAATCAACTCAAAAATCTGTAGTATAACTTAGTGTAAGGCATATTAAACATTATTATGATGAAGTAAAATAAAACAACAGTTACTGCTTTTATTTTTAATAGATTCTTTTTTTTTCAAATTGCAAAACTTCAACAGCTTCCCCAGACCCCCTGCCTCGGTTATAACAGAAGTCAAGCTACGTCACTGTACGTTCTAGGTGCATTGGTATTCTTGTAAATATCAAAGTTTTTTTTTCGTCCTTTGATCAAGGATCGTCTGCGTGTGGTTTTTCAAAAGCTTTATTTATAGACGAGATCATTATACAGAAAACATAGCTTTTGAAAAACCCCACGCAGACCCTCCTTGATCAAAGGGCGAAAAAAAACCTTAGATATTTACAGAATGGAGAATATAGACAATAAGTTCAGAATAAATGGCAAAAAAATGTAAAGAGTAAAGAAAAGTAGGCCAACAAATAAAGAAAGAGAATAATGGGGTTCTGATACATAAAGAATAGAGATGGATCAAAATAAATAATGTGCAGGTCATTTGTAACCTGAAGGGATTAGGGGGGGGGGGGGGATTATGGGGGTCTTGAAAAATTCGGCAATTGAAAGGGGGGTCTCAATTTTTCAATCCTTAATCAAAGGAGGGAATAAAATTTTGTGTTTTGGTCTGTTTATCAAATGCTAATTGCAATAGGTCAGCTATGTTTGGTGTATGGAATAATTGTAAGCGGCCAAGGTGTTCATGTCTGTCTGACAGGTATCATTTGTCCTTGACCTTATGTACATGGTTCATTGGTCAATGTTAAGTTTCTGTAGTTTGGTCCTTTTTTTTTTTTTACTATAAGTAATAGGTCAACTATATCTGGTGTATGGAATGTTTGTAGTGTTTACATGTCTGACAGGGTTCATCGGACTTTGACCTCATTTTTACGGTTTATTGGTCAATATTTAGTTTTCCTGGTTAAGCCTGTTTTTAGATATTATGAGCAGTATGTAAACTATATTTGGTGCTTGGAATGATTGTTTTATGTACATGTCTGTCTGTCATGTACCATCACTGGACCTCATTTTCATGATTCATTGTTCAATTTTAAGTTTTCACTGTTTGGTTTGTTTCATTGATACCATAAGCAAAATGTCAATAATATTTGGTGTATGAAATGATTTTAAGGTGTACATGTATGTCTGTAAGGCTTTATCTAACCTTGACCCAGTTTTCATCGACTATTGATAATGTTAGGCTTATATGATTCTTGCAGTAAAATCTTTATTTTTAATACTTTCAACCAACCAATCAATCATGGTCAGTACAGCAGGTGAGACATTTCTGCATGTGCACTCTTGTTAAATAAATATATTAAAACAATTTGAACAAAACATATTTAATAAGGTTTATGTAGAGACATATAATACAATACATTGGTGTCCAAGAGTTGCTTCTTATGCGGAGAAAAATAATTTGAGGACTTACAAATTGTTTAAACATGATTATTGTATCGAATTTTATATGAAAAATATTCTGCAATTTACATAGATGTGTTTTGCGCGTTTCAGATAGTGAGAAGTTTATTTTTATCCAATTATGAACATGCATGTGCTACCTATGTTGCCAAAACATGCAACAATAGTTTGCTTTTCTTTGTTAACATAGTTGTTTGTTTTAATATTGATAAGATTATAACACAATATTGACTGCTGTACCCCAATTTTTGATATTTTTACCCATTATGTCTGTTTGTTTTGCTCACATATAGTTGTCAATATAATAGAATTTTAAACGACTGTCATACAAGTGTCTGAGAGGTTTAACTAGCTATGAAATCAGGTTTAATCCACCATTTTTTACATATGAAAATGCCTGAGGCTGTATAAAGTCAGGAATATGACAGTTGTTTTCCATTCGTTTGATGTGTTTCAGCATTTGATTTTGGAATTTGATAAGGGACTTCTCGTTTTGAATTTTTCTTAAAGTTCGGTATTTTTGTTATTTTACTTTTTATTGAAGAGCAGCAGTATTTTATATAAATAACTTTTAAAGAAACACAATATTTTACAAATCAATTTGGAAGTCATAATATTATATGCAGATGTGTTAAAACTGTTCATAATTTATACATCATGTCTTAACAGTCTTTCCAAAATGTGTTTTCTTGAGCATTGTAGATTGAACATATGATCTTCCTTCAGAAAATAACGGGTTCCACTAGTGAACATGATCTGTTTACCCATCTGGATCACTTGAGATCGCCCCCGGTTTTTGGTGGGGTTTGTGTTGCTCGGTCTTTGGTTTTATGTGTAGGGTTTGTGTTGCTTGGTCTTTGGTTTTATGTGTAGGGTTTGTGTTGCTCGGTCTTTGGTTTTATGCGTAGTGTTTGTGTTGCTCGGTATTTGGTTTTATGTGTAGGGTTTGTGTTGCTCGGTCTTTGGTTTTATGTGTAGGGTTTGTGTTGCTCGGTCTTTGGTTTTATGTGTAGGATTTGTGTTGCTCGGTCTTTGGTTTTATGTGTAGGGTTTGTGTTGCTCGGTCTTTGGTTTTATGTGTAGGGTTTGTGTTGCTCGGTCTTTGGTTTTATGTGTAGGGTTTGTGTTGCTCGGTCTTTGGTTTTATGTGTAGGGTTTGTGTTGCTCGGTCTTTGGTTTTATGTGTAGGGTTTGTATTGCTCGATCTTTGGTTTTATGTGTAGGGTTTGTGTTGCTCAGTCTTTGGTTTCATGTGTAGGGTTTGTGTTGCTCGGTCTTTGGTTTCATGCGTAGTGTTTGTGTTGCTCGGTCTTTGGTTTTATGTGTAGGGTTTGTGTTGCTCGGTCTTTGGTTTTGCTCGGTATTTGGTTTTATTTGTAGGGTTTGTGTTGCTCGGTCTTTGGTTTTA